GTCTTCAAGGACAAGAAGGCATGGGTCAGTATGGTTTTCATCCTTACCTAGGAAATCATTCAGCTGGTTCACAGAATTTCCAAACTGGATATTTAGAACACCAACATTTACAGGGTGGCCCTACAGGACTTGTCAATCCCCAAGCTGGTTTTCCAACGAATCAATGTAGATTTACTGGTGGTCATCTAAATTATATTTCTGACAATACATGTAAATCTCAAAATGAGGCCCAAAGAAATATTCAGAATAGTTCTGGACAAACAAATGCAATGGTAGAACTTAATGGTAGATTCACTTATGGAGACACAACTAACATCAACCAAAAGGATGGAAGTCCTAAAGTTCAAAATTCAAGAGGAGAGGTACATCAAGTTTATCCTGACTTGAAAAGAGACACTGCCATTTCGGAAAATACTGAGAGTCAACATGAAATGGATAGAACTGCTGATCATTCTGATAAAGCTCTTGATCCACAAGTGCCAGCTGTACATGATGATAAAAGAAATAGAGATATGACCAGAAGAGACAGTCTTGATGCTAGAGAAGTTACAGAGACCAAAGAAAATAAAACCTCTGAAAGTCCTATTGAGAAAGGTATAGTTTTAAACATTTTCTGCCAATTTCTTTTTTGATTTTTAAAGGCATTATTATTCACTCAAGTTCAATTTTTGAAGGCCAAATCCATGAAGGTATGTCTGAACAAAATATAGGTTCTAGAGTTATTTAGCTATACTGTTAAAGGTATTAGTCACGTTTTTTGTAGGCACGATAGAGTCAACAGTTTTTATCCGATCTTGATGAAACTAGGTATGTATATATATATTGATGAGATCTTGGTCAAGTTCAAAATTTGATATAATTAGATGAACGGTTTCATAGTTATTGCCCTTGTCTTATTAAAAACTCGTCCAATAGGCCCAGTTTTTATCCGATCTTGATGAAACTTGATGAGATCTCAGTCAAGCTCAAAATGGGTATTTTTCGGATGGACAGTTTAAAGGTTATTGCCCTTGACTTTAAAAATAAACACGTCAAATTTGACTTGTAGGCACGATAAAGACTACAGTTTTGATCTGATCTTGATGAAACTTGGTATGAATGTATGTATTGATGAGATCTCAATCAAGTTCTCGGTCGGTAATGAATGGTTTCAGAGTCATTAACGTTGACTTAGTAAAAACCGTCAAAATTTGGCTACTTTTAATTAGACTGAATGTTCTGAAGCTTATTAGAATTATCATTATTTTCAGACCAAACAAAAAGTTTTCTGATTGAAACACAAACAGAGCAGATTGAGTTGGAAATTTTAAAGTTAGCTTTAAGTAATAGAAAGAAAGGTGGTGGACCAATTGAAACACTGAAATATAATCCTGTTAAGAAGCAATATCTAGTTACATTTAAAGAAAGTAAAGGTAAACACATCACAATCTAAAGCAATATCCTCTAAATTTAACTTATTTTAACCATAGATTCTTAAACAGATATTGATTGGCTTTATGTGAGTTTCAATACATGACGTCTATTTATATATCTTGAAAATACTACTTGCTATGGGAGAAACTTATACAATAGGACTAATAAATATAATATATGAAAAACTAACCCAAAGATGGGGTTTTATGTAAATCTGTTAAACAATCTATTATCTCGACTTCATGTTATATCTGAGGGTATTGCAGTATGCAAGAACACAATTCAGTTTTATATTTTATTAAACATGTATTTAAAACCCTGGAATATATATTTACAAAATAAACAATATAACCTTTAAAATATCACAGATTAATATAGCTTACAGAATATTATATAACAATGAATACAATGCAACAAGTAGGTAGATGTCATAAAGGGAGGTAACTACATTATTTCTATTCATGTGGTACACGTATGAGTTTAGCCTGGTGTTAAATATAAATAACTACTGAATAAATAATCTACAATGTAACAGGCTTTTAAAGGGATACTACGTCTTAGGATGAACATAAAATTTTGATTTTGCTCAAATTTGGCCAATAACAGTATATATCCATCAGTGGACTCACCTGGTGTCCTAACAATACATCAAAATCCCTCTATAATCCGATATATCCACGAAATCAAGTAATTAATTATAAAACGCTTAATACATCCATTAAGCGATTTTCAAATCGTGAGTCTAGGAAATCCTGTGTAATTTTCAAGGGGAAGTAACTCTCAAGTGGGGTTTCCCGCGTCCTTGACCTCTACTCTTGAATTGACCTCGACATTGTCATATTTTGAAGACGGAATAATGATGCCTCGTAGGAAATTAAGCGACTCCGCGAAAAAGCTGAAATAAAGATAATTATTATAGATGAAACATAGGCTACATTGTAATGATACTTTAGTTTAACCTTGAAACTGTAAGCTAATATAATTATATTTTATGTAATAAATAGTTAAAGATAAAGAGTAAAATAATAATGTGAACTTATATAAAGATGCAATTATACCCCTATAGACACCTACACTGCCCCACCCCCACCATTCCTAAACCAAGACAATATAAAATACACATACCTGAAAATACTGAAGAAGTATTATAAGAGTATCATACAGTTCAGAAAATAACATACAAAATCCTAATTGTATAAAAGTCACAACATGGTGTCTGTTCTCCCAGATCCAAGTCTAAAGTGAGCATAAAGGAGATTGGACAGAAAACAAGCAAACATTGACTGTTGCCAAGGAGATGCCGAAAAAGTGCTCACCCTGATGTGAACCATAAGGTCAACATATCAGTCAAAATGAAGGATAAGACTATATTATAGGAAGTGAAGAGTGTTAATTAATGATTGCTATAATAAAAAAGTGCTCAATTAAAAGTATATTTGTGACAAGCGATAGGTTTATACAATCTGATCTGATGTACATTACATGGTAGAAATATACTCTAGAGTCACAAAGGTTTTCTCAAATATTAGATCTACATTCACTCTTATGAATTCAAAACCTGTGAAGTTAATACATACCAAAGCATAGAATTTAAAGATGGCTGACATTACTAAATATTTTAAATACCGTCCGTCCGTTGGTCCGTCCGTCAACATTTGCTTGTAAACGCTAAAAAAAACTAGATATTTTGATGGAATCAAATGAAATTCGGTATGTGTATACATACATATAAAATGAAGATCAAGTTCGAATTTGAGCTATTTTCGACTGTTAGAAGCAGAGTTATTGCCCTTGCCCCAAAATCTTGAATATACTATCTTAGTTTTGAACCGATTTTGATAAAACTTAAAATGGATTTTTCGTTTTTACCATCCGCATGCCGTGGTGGGCGTATATGGCTGTGGTCCACTATCTTTACATCTCTCATACAAAATATAGTTCAGATCACTAAATTCAGAGAGGTTGAAATTAAGCTGCCTACTACTGATACATGATACTAATTATCATGTTATTTGTGTAGAAAACTGGAATTAATTGTGCTGTATCATAGAAAATTTAGATATGATATAATCACTGTTTATTATGTTTCAGATGCATTTCAAATTGTGAATAAGAATTTCCAAGTATCTGGTGTTACTTTGAAGCTAAGTCTGTATTGGGAAGATCCTGAAAACTTTGTTGAAGAGCAGAGACCCCAGTCCATGGAGATAAAACAGAAAACACAGACTTTAAAGATTGAAGTTAAATCATCAGATATACTTCGTGTAAAGCACATTCTCCAAAATGACAAGATACTTGATAGATTTTATAGACGTTTGAAGTTGAAATGTAAGTTTAAGTCAGTTAAACATAACGATTCCAGTGACTACTTTATTGTTTTTGACCTTATGGAATTTACTGAGGATCTAGAAGGTACATCACAGAATGCTGCTGTTATTCTGAAATCTTTGACTGATGATTTAGTCCAAAATATCATTGGAGTTCCAGATGGAATCAATTTGAATCTACAAATAAAAGAATTTGATAAGGAATCGAAGGATGTGTCATTAACTTACTCTGGACAAAAAATTTACATTATTAGTACTAGTAAGTTACAAAAGGTTACAAATGTTTATAAGAAGAAAATACAGGAAATGATCAAGGAGCACCAGGATGAAATGGAACGTAAGAATGAAGAGATCAAGAAGATCCCGCTGGCACCTGTAGAAAAAAAGTTTTTCCAAAAATTTCTGCTAGAATCTGAAGAGCTGAAAGGTTGTCAAGTGTTGCTGGGTATTGATGAAGATGGTGTAACAGTAAGGGGTCAAAGTTCAAATATAACCCAGGCTAGTCTGTTTATTCATGAAATGCTGGAAAAAGCTTCATCACAAGAGATATATAATGTAAATGATCCAGAATATCTGTTTCTTAAAGAATGTAAATATATTGACGTACTAGAAAGTAAATTGAAGGAAAGGAGATTGAAAGTGTGTATTGGTGTGAAAAGGAAGAAATTTATCATAATATCTTTAGAAAGAAATGATACAGCTCAAGCGGAAGCCATAATTAAAGAATTAATTTTATCAAAGTCCTTAAAAATTGAAACAAGCCAGTTCCTGAAAACAGATGAATGGCAGACACTTGTTTCAACTATTAAAGATGAACATAGTACTGAAGTTATGATACAAACAAATCTAAAGGCAAAAAAAATGACCATTATCGGTGTTCCAAGTATTGTAAGTAGAGTCTCTGAGCATATTGAAGATTATCTAGAATCTGTTACAGAGAAAACTGATGTTGTATCTGGTGATGTTTCAAAGATGGATTATATAAGACGAAAATGCTATAAGAAAATTGATGACATACAGAAAAAATGTTGTCTTACTATTGATTGTGACTCACTACCCTGGAAATTGAAGGGTACAAAAAAGGCAGTTGAAAGAGGTAAATCTAACATCATTTCAGTTATTGAAGACATCAAAACTGACACTGTATTACTGAAATATATTGGTATTGGTACACTTTTTACTCAGTCAAGAGGAAATGAAATAATTTCCCGCATTGGAGAGGATAGCAATTGTCTAATCATTGAAGAAAAGAAAAGAATGTCTACTGATACATCTGAAGGACCTCCACCATTAAGAACATGGACATTACCAAATGATAAGAAGATAGAGGTTGTGAAGACTGATATGAGATATTTAAGCTGTGATGCTATTGTTAATGCTGCTAATGGTCATCTAAAACATATATCAGGTCTGGCAGGGGCTATAGTTAAGAAGGGTAAGTGATATTTTTTCTGTAATATTGGTATCAATGGGTCTACATAGACAATTTGGGGAAACTGATATTTTTCTACAATTTTTTTTTATATATTGCCTCTTGATGGCCTCATATTAAAGGGATTGTGAAGAGGTTTTCCAAACTTTTTATGTGTATTGGGGACACTGATGGCATCAATTTGCACCATTCCAATTTTCATTTCGACGTCTGTGGGTCTTGCAATTCCACTATTAATATACACTGTATATGCAGTTCCCCTCTAATGACGTCATAAAACACGTTAGTTTTAGTTTCGGTCAGATGTCTGTCGTTACTACAATTCTACTAAAACTAAGTATTTAATGATGTCACTAATCACATAAGGCCTTATGTGATGAAGCATATTTTGTGATTAGTGACGTCATCAAACAGTTTTATTGGAATTGCAAGAACCACAGACGTCAGAATGAAAATTGGAATGGTGCAAATTGATGCTATCAGTGTCCCTGATACACATAAAAAGTTTAGAAAACCTCTTTACAATTCCTTGAACAGAAAACAACAAAATCAAGTTATGGTACAAAATATCATGACAATACAATTATCAAATAAATGGAGTTTTACATCCTACTTTTCTACACCATATGGGCTAGAGAAAAATGAAAAATCCGAAGGTATTATCTCGACCTATGACGGGATTGAACCCTAGACCTTCAGGTTAGCGAGCAAGCGTCTCACTCACTGAGCCTCTGCGTCACCCAAAGAGAAATAGTTCTCAAGATTTATTTTTCACCAGAGATCAACTATCTGTTACCCTTTTCAGACTTCAAATCTAATGTCAGGTGCTCTTACAGTTGAACAGGAATGAACTGTTTAGACTACTGTCACTTCCAGGTTCTAGATAAATACATAGATAAATACATAGATATTCTAATGATATTCATTGGTAATGATTGCATGAAGGTGTTCTTAATCATCTGACATCTAAAATATATTTTTGTTGATTTTTTGGGAAAAGTTGGTATAGAGTTTTATCACTGTTAAATGAATATTTAGACAAATGTATCCTTTTTCCAGGTGGAAATGAAATACAGAGAGAGTGTGATGAATATGTGAGTACCAAAGGAGAAGTTAAAGTTGGTGAAGTGATGGTTGGAAGTTCTGGTCAACTTCCCTGTAAAAAGATTATTCATGCTGTTGGTCCTATTTGGAACCAAGGATCCACAAAGGCAGCAATCCATCTTGAAAATGCTGTTTGTAACAGCCTCAAAGCAGCAGATAAAAATAACCTAAGATCTATTGCTATCCCAGCTATATCAACTGGTATCTTTGGCTATCCAATGGCAGAAGCTTGTAAAATAATTGTGAAGACCATTGTTAATTATTTATTGAAGTCAAAGAGTGAAGTGACCCATGTACTACTTTGTGACATCAAAGAAGATTCATTAGCTGCTTTTATAAGAAATCTGTCATCTGAAAGTTTTAAACAAGATGTAGTGGAAAGGGGAGAAAAGGTCAGAGAAGAAAGTTTGGGAGCTGTGGGTGGTGTATCTAATTCTGATCATTCTGATACTGATGAACCAAGTGATGCTGAAGACAAAGAGTCCTACCCTGATGCTAGTGATGATGTTGATGAAGATCTTCAGACTGGTGGAGAAACAGATAATGGTATGTTTTAGTTTCCATTTTTATACGCCCACATGGGTTCATCGGTCCGTCCGTCCGTCAACATTTGCTTGTAAATGCTCTAAAAACTAGATTTTTTGATGGAATCAAATGAAATTCGGTATGTGTATACATATTCCGTCGATCCGATGAGCTATTTTCGACCGTTAGAAGCAGAGTTATTGCCCTTGCCCCAAAATCTTGAATATGCTATTACTCTCTTCGTTTTCAACTGATTTTGATGAAACTTAAAATGGATGTTATTGGACCTAAATCGAAAGGTTTGAGAAAGTTTAGTTTACTTTTGATTAAATTTAAGGCTTTTTCAAGATTTAGGCCTCTTACGTCAGTTTTAAGGAGTTATCGCCCCCGTTAAACTCTATACACTAAGTGCTTCTATCAACATCAATTGCTCGTAAACACTCCATCCATCTGTCCGTCGATCCGTCCGTCAACATTTGCTTGTAAACGCTCTAGATTTTTTGATGGAATCAAATGAAATTTGGTATGTGTATACATATTCATAAAATGAAGATCAAGTTCGAATTTGAGCTATTTTCGACCGTTAGAAGCAGAGTTATTGCCCTTGCCCCAAAATCTTGAATATGCTATCTTAGTTTTGAACCGATTTGATGAAACTTAAAATGGATGTTTCGTTTTTACCATCCGCATGCCACGGTGGGCGTATATGGCTGTGGTCCACTATCTTCATCTTTAATAAGCTAATTCGGAAAGAATACTAAAAAAAAATATACACTGTATAACACTGCCTACAAAAAGAAACGAAGTACTAAATATGAAAACCGCAAAACAAAAACCTGAAACTCAAACAACGCATTGACTAAATAAGTAGCAACTAATTATTTTTTCACATGAGGAAGTAAATCAATCGTAAGTGAGTAAGTATTTAAAATGAAAAGTGGTATCAGGTGTCAAGAAGAGAAAGCATACAAGTCATACTTTAAATAGATGTTAAATTTGGTTTTATTTATCAATCAAGTTACAATATAATTTTGATTAGAATCTTGATTTTATCTACAGAATAAAAGACCAAGACTCTATTCAAGTATTAGATTTAAAGTTCGCATCATTTGCTTTATTGTAATGAGCATGTTGAAGTCTTGTGACCTTGAATAAGTCAGTTTTTCCCATTATTCCAGTCAACTTAGTAAATCATTAAAGATCAGTGTCGAGAGGTTTGACCAAGGATCAGCTAATTTTCAAAATCATTGAGAACTTAATTTGTTATTGTATAATTTCTAGAAAGGAATTAATTATTTTAATGAAGTGAAAATCCCCATATGTATTTTACTAACAAATGTTTCTTTCTATTAAAGTGACGCCATTTTAGGGGATTGATTTTAGTCTTGATTATATGTAAAAAGTCTTCAGAAGTACTAGAAAAGTTAGAAAATCGCATAATTCCTTTAAAAATACTTCAAACTAGGAATTTTACTCACTATCTCTATATATGTCTTTTCTATATATCACAGAGTATCTTTAACATTCAAACGCAGATATTTCTGGACACCATTGATTTGAGGGCTCAAATTTTGACAGTGTACTGTGAACACTATTACTGATAAGCTTAGCTAAAAGATTCCCATTTCTGAGATAAAAGTAGGATCGGTCAAAAAAAATGGCGTAACTGCCCCTTTAACCTACTTAAAAAAATCATTTTCAAAAACCCATGTTTATTTCAGATTCTGTAATAAAAGTGAAATCTGGAGAGATAACCAAGCAACAGGTTAGCTTCATCCACATTGTTATAAACTTACATGAAATAATGGTAGTGTCATAACCCATCTGTTTCTTTGTTGCAAAATCTAGCCCTACATGTTCCTCTAACGTGATATATGGATACAGTTAGAGCCAGATTCTAAAGGTCACTTTTTATGGGAGTTGCTCCAATTCATTTTTATACGTTCACATGAACCCTATCGAATATCAGAAGAATCGAGAAATATTTAGTATGAGTTATTGCCCTTGTTCTTGAAAACTTTTAGCTTGTAAACATTCTAGAAGGCACAATTCTTGAAAAAATTTAATGAAATTTGGTGTGAGTGTTTGTTATCAGCCAAGGATAAACTCTGTTGAAAATCAGAAATATTGAAAAAAAAAATTGACATAAATAATTGCCCTTGTTCTTGAAAACGTGTTCATTTTTAAGCTTGTAGAAGAGTTATCGTGGATGGATTTTGACAAAACTTGTTGTGAGTGTTTGTTATCACCCAAGGATGTACCCTATTGAAAATTAGAAAATCGAAAAATATTTTGTATGAGTTTTTGCATGATTCTTGCTGAATTTTCACAAAACTTATATTATTATTATTAAGTATTGCCCCAAACAAGTTCAAAAGAAGTGTATGACTGAAAGTTTAATATTTCATACTGGTGATTGTTACTGTACTGCCAAATATTTTTATTCAAAATCAAAGCTGCCAGTGGGCATACATTACCTTGCTTGGCAATCTATCTTTACATCACTAATTTGGCTTTGGTCATGGTGAACTTCTCACAAACTTAGCGATCCAAAAAATGGATCGGAGCAACTTCCATAAGATGTAACCTGCATCTGGCTCTAACCATGATGATATATCTGTATGTTACTTTTAAAAAGATGGAGAGGGATTTTCTATTTTATTTATGTGTATATGTGATACAAATAGAATATATTGGCACTTACATATTTCCTGTTTAACTTGAATGATATTTGATATAGTAACATCATAAACTGGTCTACAAGAAGTATAGATGTTACACTTGAAATGTTACTGATGCAGAAAGTTGTTTAGCTGAACTTACTTACATGAAGTTTTTAGGAAAATCTGTTGAACCTTTTGGAACAAAGGGTTGAATTCACAATTCTTAAGTTCTCACTTGATCTTCAACAAATTTTTATACGCCCAAATGAAATGTATATTGTCGTCACCTCGTCCGTCCATCAGTCCATCAGTCGTAAACACTCTACAAGTCACAATTCTTGATTGATTTCGACGAAACTTGGTATGGTTGTTTGTAATCACCCAAAGATGAACCCTATCGAAAATCAGAAAAATCGAAAAATAATTGGTATGAGTTATTGCGTTCAATTTGTAGCACGTAAACACTCTCGAAGGCACAATTCTTGATGGATTTTGACAAAACTTGGTGTGAGTGTTTGTAATCAAAGGTCACCATTTTCAGAGAGCGCTGATGAGTTAAGCCCATACTTTCTATGGAGATTTGAAATAATGAGGGAGTATATCACAGTAGTTTATTAATTTAGCATCACAATGATTATACCAAAATGTAGAGAATTTTAAGGGGAATTACTCCTTGTGAAATCTGAAAAATTTCACAAATGGCACTTGGACCCCTTTTAATCTCAGCATTTCAATTTTAAATTTAATCCCCCTGATTATCTCGTGTGATCTTAAATAGTGACAATGCACCTTTAGATTTCAAACAAATTCACTAAACTTGGTATGTGCATGTGCATGAATGATCAAATATGAAGATATTAACTTTTGTGACTATGTAATAAACATGCCATAAATTTGTGAAAGTTCCTCATTTTAAGAGCCTGATACCGACGTGGGCATATTTCAACATATCCTTTATTTTTGTAGTAAGCTTTGTAGGCTTTCATAAGCTGATACTTTTTATGAACATCTGAAATATTAACAGTCTGAAAGACTAGTAAAGGAAATATCCCTGATGATACATCTAGTCATCAATTATGACCATTCTATTAAAGGTTGATGTAATAGTGAACTGTACGTCTGGAGAACTTGATCTAAAATCTGGTGCAGTATCAAGAGCTATATTACAAGCTGCAGGTTCATCAATACAGTCAGAATGTGATAAAAAGTATTCTGGTGGTATTTCACCGGGTGCTATAGCTGTCACCACTGGTGGTAAACTAGCATGTAAGAAGATCTATCATACATGTATCCAGTCATATACTAAAGATAAATCTCAGGCTAGAAAGGTTGGTATTTCTAGTATTTAAATGAATAAAGAATCTAAATCCTATCGTGTCTCTTTTGTCTGTGTCTGTTGTATTAGATGATAAACTAAAATGATTGTGTGTTAAGGTGTGTTTTTTGTTCTTCTCCTCTGGTCTAGATTTGGCAAATGTAATGATGGAAATTTTGCTGGAAAGTGGCCACATTTTCTGCGGTTACAAATTGTCAATGCATCTTTCACAGGCACAGTCTGTGGTACATGTGGCTTCATAGCCTTTGACAAACCAACTGCTGCCTTGAAAGTTTTGTCAGGTATATAGAGCCAATAAGATACATCTGATGTCCCTTATTTAGCATCTGATATCAAACATCCCTTTTTATACGCTAACATCTCTCTATGTGGATGTATATTGTCGGCACCCCTGTCCATCTGTCCGTCCGTCAACATTTGGTTGTAACACTCTAAAGACTAGATTTTTTGATGGAATCAAATGAAATTCGATATGTGTATACATATTCATAAAACGAAGATCAAGTTCGAATTTTAGCTATTTTCGACTGTTAGAAGCAGAGTTATTGCCCTTGCCCAAAATCTTGAATATGCTATTACTCTCTTAGTTTTCAACCGATTTTGATGAAACTTAAATTGAATGTTTTGTTTTTACCATCCGCATGCCATGGTGGGCGTATATGGCTGTGGTCCACGATCTTTAGCATCTGATATCAAACATCCCTTTTTTAGCATCTGATATCAAACACCCTTTTTTTTAGAGCCTTGAGATGTCTATTTCAAGAAGTTTGGAGAATGCTAC